AAAGAGAAGAGGGGGGGGAATAAAAAGAGGGGAGGGGGGATAAGAAGAGGGGAGGGGGGATAAGAAGAGGGGGGAGAATAGAGGGGAGGGGGGAATAAAAAGAGAAGGGGGGGAATAAAAAGAGGGGAGGGGGATAAGAAGAGGGGAGGGGGGAATAAGAAGAGGGGAGGGAGGGGAATAAGAAGAGGGGAGGAGGGGAATAAAAAGAGGGGATAGGGGGAATAAGAAGAGGGGAGGGAGGGGAATAAGAAGAGGGGAGGGGGGAATAAGATGGGGGGGAATAAAAAGAGGGGGGGAATAAGAAGAGGGGGGAGGGGAATAAGAAGAGGGGAGGGGGGGAATAAGAAGAAGAAGAAGAAGGTGAGTAAGAAAAAGAGAGGGAGGCAGAAGAAGAAGAGTGGGGGAGGCGAAGAAGAAGAGGGGGTAAGAAGAAAAAGGAGGAGTAAGAAGAAGAAGGGGGAGTAAGAAGAAGAAGGGGAGGAAGAGGAAGAAGAAGAAGGGGTAAGAAGAAGGGGGGGTAAGAAGAAGAAGGGGGAGCAATAAGAAGAAGGGGGTAAGAAGAACAGGTGGGGGAGTAAGAAGAACAGGTGGGGGAGTAAGACGACCAAGGGGGGAAGTAAGAAGAACACAGGGAGGAGGGGGGTAAGACGAACACAGGGGGTGTGAGGAGAACACATAGAGGGAGGAGTGAGAAGAACACAGGGAGGGTGGAGAGGGGATGAGAAGAGCACAGGGAGGGTGGGTGAGTGTGAGAAGAGACCGCTAGGGGAGGGTGGGGGAGAGGAGAGACCACTAAAGGTGCAGGGGAGAGCTCTACGGGACAGAAGGGGCAGCTCTATAGGACAGGGCCAAGACAGGGAGCTCTTTCACACTATGCGCGTGCACACACACACAATGCATCCCTATACATACACAGAAACACAACATGCTTCCCTTACACACAGAGAAACACACAATGCATCCATTACACACACACACACAATGCAACCCCTACACACAAAGACAATGCATCCCTACCACATACACAGAAAACAGACACCAAACCCAGACACACACACAAACACACACACACTTCTTTTCTTACATACACACAGAAACACAATGCATCTCTTACACTCAATGCACACACATACAGACACACACCTTGCATCCGTTATGCATACAAACCCAGATCCACACAATGCATCCCTTACACACAACCAGAAACACATAATACATCCCTTATACACAAATACACACTGCTTCCACTACACACAAACACACTACATCACCTGCACAAACTGGTAACCCCATACACTACATACCATAAGCACACATATTAGATCCTCTACAATAACACATAACACATCCCCTACACACTCCACTCCCTGTGAGCGAACTCATGGGTGGGTGGAACTTATGAGTGGGCCTTATGGGCATACTCACCGTCAGGCCCTGGGGCCCAGACCTTGAGCTGTGTAAGGGCCCCAAAAAATGGAGCTGCTTCCAATTCTCCCAGAACATTGAATTTTGTGACCACAGCTGCAAACAGCCTCCAGAGATCCTGTTCTACACCAGACCAGTGGAGCCAAACTGCAGCCCATCATCATCCTCATCTGCTTGTAAGTAGGCAATCTAGTATATTATTAGTGACACTAATCTATAATGTACCTCACATTAAAGGGACACTATAGCTTAATGAAGTGGTTCTGGTGTCTATAGCTGGTCCCTGCAGCCTTTTTAATGTAAACACACACTGTGTGCAGCACTGGCGTTAGTTCATATGGGTGGGGCATTGTGATGTCACATGGGGGGGCAGCAAATTTTTATTTTGTCTAGGGCGGCAAAAATCCTTGCACCGGCTCTGATCTTGGGCAGGTGCACCAGTCTACTGGTGACCCACAGGAGGGGAGTGCACTTATTGCACTGCACTCTCCTCCTGCCCAGCCCCATCTTTACCGCAGTGCAAGTGCCCTCTGCCCCTAATTTACAGTGGCTCACACTCACAACAAGCAGTGCCTGGAGCCGTGAAGGAGCGGGTATGGCAAAGAGCTACTGATTAGCATAACATCAATATCCGTTATAAAACCAGGAAAAGGTGGGCATGGATGGTGAACTGATTTGGTGGTGCAATGGGCCACTTGACTGGTTTTGCCCCCCAGGCCTAAGGCTGCCAGCCCTCCCCTGCTCACTGCTGTGGCTGATGGAGGAGGAGCATGCCTCTGTACCATGCTCCGAGCATGGTACAGAGACATGCTCCTCCTCCATCAGCCACAGCAGTGAGAGGAGCAGGGCCGCCGGACAGGAACGCGGCCGGCCCCCTGTTATCTGTTCTAACTCTGTATCTGCACACTACGCTGGCGCGATGCATTATGGGGATGGTAAATATTTTTTTTCCAGGGCTGCTTTTAATTCCCAGTCCGGCCCTGGCAATCGCCCTTTTGGATTGTCGACCGCTCAGCGGTCAATGGCGATGATACCCTGAAACTCATTTTGATCACGATTAACATGTAAAGGATACAAGAAGACTATCCAATATATGCACATAATGAATATGTCATCCCATGTGAGAAAGACATTTAGATACTGCTCACAGAAGCAGTGATAAAACTAGAAAACTGCTAGTAGAACACATTATGCCCATTCACTGATCACATCACTAAAGATGGCGCATTACAAAATATTATTAGACGATTAAATTAAGGCACTTACATTTTTAGGGAGTTTAGCATATTCTTTCAGTTTTGTCCTAACCTCCCGATGGAAACTGTTATCAGGAAAAACTTCAGCAACTAGTCCTATATCACATGCCTCACGTGCCGTAAACTTTCTGTTGAACATAAGAATCTCGATAGCCTTGAAAAGACAGACATCAATTTTCAATGACTGGTTTACTCATTTACATATAAATACAGAGAGAAATAAAAACTGCATACCTTAAAAACAAACTACAAATACCCACAGACAAAAATAACCACCCCTCCTCCCCCACTTACACACAACATGGTAACACACATTTACAAGTTATGGCTAACCTTAGAACTGTAAACATGAACAACATATTACATGATATAGACCATGGGTCGTCAACCTGGTCCCTACCGCCCACTAGTGGGCGTTTTAGGATTCCAGGTGGGCGGTAGGGATTTCTGAGGCTAAATCCTCTTTTTAAGAGGATTTCTCCTTTTGGGCGGGCGCGAGCGGCTCTGCATGTGCAAGTCTTCAGTGACCGGCAGGAGGAAGCGCTCCCTCCTGCCAGGCCACCTTCTCGACCCCCCGGCATGGCAGAGTTCTAATCAGTCGCGGCGAGTGAGCTCTAACCTCTCTGCTCTGCTCCCTCGCGCGATGTTTGCTGATGCCGCGGGAGCCGGAATATGATGTCATATTCCGGCTCCCGGCATCAGTAGACAGCCCACGAGGGAGCAGAGCAGAGAGGTTAGAGCTCCCTCGCTGCGTCTGATTAGCCGCCCGCCTAAGTGAAGCCCCACTAGACCCCAGGGACAGATCCACACCAGCTCTCCAGGTAGGGAGGCTGGGTGGATATTTAATATTAATAATTTGTGTGTATATGTGTTTGTCTCTAAGTGTATGTGTGTGTGTCTGTAAGTGTGTGTGTGTGTCTGTAAGTGCGTGTGTGTGTGTGTGTGTGTCTGTAAGTGCATGTGTGTGTGTGTGTGTGTCTGTGTCTGTAAGTATATGTGTGTCTGTGTCTGTAAGTATATGTGTGTGTGTGTGTCTGTAAGTGTATGTGTGTGTGTGTGTGTGTGTCAGTAAGTGTGTGTGTGTCTGTGGGTCTGTCTGTGTATGTGTGAGTGTCTGTAAGTGCATGTGTGAGTATGTGTATATTTGTGTGTAT